GGTCCAGCTGCTTTAATAGCGTTCCGTATGAGAAAAAGAGACAGCCAATACATTAAGGTTAGAAAACAAAACACTTTAATTACGACCATGGCAGTACGAAGTGATCTTCGATCCGGTCACTTGATCTTTGTTGATTGCCCTCCATCTCCCTCCTTCCCTTCCTGGATTGTGTTACAACTCACTCGCTTACCACGAATCACGCAACGCAATAGTAAAGGATTGATCCAACTACCTTGTGTATCGCCTGAGGATTGACGAAGCAGTCATACGGAGCACTCTGCATGGTGCTAGGATTGAGAAGGCGTCTGAAATCTGGATCTGATCTTTCGATACTATTTTGGAATTCCAGCTGTGAGATGGAAAATATTAAATAATTTAAAATTAAAAAAAAGTACGTGTCAAGTAGGACTAGCCAAAGGAATAATCCTTGTGCTAATGGACGGCACATGGATGACACACAACAAGGAAATATTAATCACTGACTCGACTCACTAGTGGGTTTAAGAAAACCACGACGGCAACGGCAACGTCGCTAAACAAAAGGTTTAATGAGCAGGCCCCGGTTGTTGGAAAGGTGGATACGTATCTACTGGATAAATCACTATCCAGTACATTTATCCGGTGCATAGCGTTATCCAGCCTTCGAACAACCGGGGCCAGAACAATGGCTGTGCACGTGCGTTATAATTCTTGGTACATTTCTTTGCCGTCACGGTCTTCTCCAAAACAACAACGTGAAACGACAAAATTCTGCGTTTTCTGGGGAACGCGAACCACGACAGCTAATTTTAAACATTGTCATTTCAAATTTACTGCTGCGTCCCAGATCCAGTTTCATAGTTTTGACAGTGACAAACAAAGTAAATGACTTTAAAGTATCGCGAGATTCGTATTTAAGTTATAAAATCATTTTTTAATCGACGTTGTCCTCGACGTCACCATCGTGGTTAGTTAAACCCAGTGATATGAATAGCGAACGTGCTGATGACAGAAGCACGGTAGTCAACTGATACAAACCACTTGTCCTTTGATTCCCTGGCCATAGGCCTTTTTTTCTTTACTTAGACCCACGATTGTCACGAGATATCTCCTTGACGCTATGATGTGGTATCGACAAGTTAGATCGTTGATGGGAGAAGCAGGATCGAAGAACATCAACAACATATTCCGTTGAAGGCAATTCCATGTCGCGTTATTTGCGTTGATTGTGAAAACGACAACAATAGGTCATTTTCGAGTTACCTTGTGCCTATGTTTCAAAACGAGTCTTCATGTAAAACCTTTCACATGAGAATGAGTTTGATTTCCATGAAAATGACCACGTAGGCGGAATTCATTTCCATATGGATGGTTTCGTACGAAGACTCATTTTGACACCGAGGCAAAAGACAACTCGGAAATGGCCTATTGGTTATCATTGAAAGAACTTACAGCGTTTACGTCGTGGAAAACGAGTCGATGATTCTGAAACACTTCTGCAGCAGTCGTTGGTGGTGTTACATTCTTCTTTTCTTCAGAAGTTGATGCTTCCTTGGAAGTGCATGCATCTTTATCGTTGTTCGTACATGCACCTTTTTCCTCGGAAGTGCTTGCACCTAAGCTCTTATCAATGCATTTATTTACTTGACTTTCGTCTAATATGTCGGAATTGTTCGTATCCTCCATACTGGTGACGTCTTTCGGTTCTTGTTCTTTCGAAAGTAATGACGTGCCACGATCAAGTTCTTCCAAGTACACCCTATAAATACTCTACAAAGACAAAGGACACAGACTTCAGCATTTACCAACTTAACGCTGATAAAGGTAAATTAATCGCCAAATCGGGTTTGTGAAGTAATATATCACACAGGAAAAACCGTGTTTGACCACATTTCCAAACACCGAGAACAGAGTGGAAAATACGACGCGCAGCGGAGTATCTTCGACGAACTTCGAGGTGTTTAGAAATGTGGTCAAACACTGTTCCAAACACCGAGAACAGAGTGGAAAATACGACGCGCAGCGGAGTATTTTTGACGAACTTCGAGGTGTTTGGAAATGTGGTGAAACACTGTTTTGAGTGAATGATAAATGTCCTAAATCAAAACTAAAACTAAGGAGAAAACGGAGAAATAAAATCGTAAAAACCTATGCTAATTAGGATAAGATATCCAAACACTGTCACGGTCGTGATTTCCGTTGTTTAAATACTCGAAAAGTCAGCTTCAAGAACAAGTTTCAAGTGAACAGTCGATGGTATTGTCTGGTATTACAGCCAATACCATCTTGGTTAAACTGACCAATCACTTTCAACGGACCAGACTTATAACACCATCGACTGACAAACACTTTTCACTTGACTCTGAACATGACTTCCGCTGAAGTTGTCGAAATGTCAGTCACCAACAACAGTTCTTTTTAGAATTACCCTCACCCGGACGATCACACTATACGAACTACATATCTAAAAAAAATGATGACTTTCTGTTTTCTTAACACCTATCTGATTGAAAAATGCATTGGTATTGAGAGGAGAATTTACATAACATCACTCTTGAAGTGAAAGGGTACGTGACAAAGCACAGACCCCAAAAATAACCTAGTACGGGCCCTTTGCCTCTGGTTCAGAACAAGTCCTGCTGCAAAACTTTTCAAATGAAAATAAAATCGTGCAGGTGAAACGCATTTTCATTTTGCAAGAAGACTCAACAACTGTAAAAGTACTCACTCGGGGCGGGGGGGGGGGGNGAGGTGTTTGGAAATGTGGTGAAACACTGTTTTGAGTGAATGATAAATGTCCTAAATCAAAACTAAAACTAAGGAGAAAGGTAATCTAAGGTAAGAGGGACGGGGAGGCACTGTGGATTAAATTCTGTGGGAGACCAGCCTCGGCGTTGCTTAAGCATAATTTGAACCCTACAAGAAACCATTCCAAAGCAGACAAACAAGTTAGAGCTTTAGTGATAATAACGACACAGACATTGCCATCAGATGCTCCTAGCTGCATAAGTTTAAAGCTCTCACGACATATCTATCTAAAACACCTTAACGCAGTATGACAGTATGAGGGAGCAACCATGAAAGATACCTCCACGAATAAATAACAATTGAGTTCTGTCTTTGGTCTCACGCTAAATGAGACCAATCCAAAACTAGCACCCCTGAACTAGGGAGATACCCCCCCTCCCCACCCCAACCCGGCCGCCGCTCCATGGGCCCATGAGATTGTATCTTACAAATTTGGAAAAGGGTCTTCTTCTTCTTTTCGCCAGTTGAATTCCAACCACTTCACCACTGGCATCTCCAGTGATCAAGACTTTTGTCCAATCAGACACGGACAGAGTCTGTTAAAAAGAGCAAACCAAACAGTTTTTAAATGCTAGTAGAAGAAAGAACTATTGAATGTTAGTATACGCTAACTGGGATGGTGAATAAGCAAGCAAATAGTGTAAATTAACGAAAAACGTTTTGTAAATCCCGACCGGTGGGAGGCGGACCAGTTTGCTATTTACAAAGTGTGGAGGAGTTGAATTTGGGATCATTAACAAAGAAAATCCATCTTGTGGAAAGGTGGAGGATTTGAACCCGCGAAACCCAGATTACAGGTCAGTAATAGTGATCCCTGCAATTCGAAGCGAGCAGTTTTCAACTGGGTGTCATAAGACCTAAACCGAAGTTATTGTGCAGTTTAAGAAGCTTCGACGGCGACGCCGGCCCGGGGGACAACGTCGATTAAAAAATAAATTAATATTTCACCTACAAATCTCGCGATACTCTTAAGTCATTTAGTTTGTTTCTCTTTATCGAAACCACCTCGAAACTGAATATGGAACACAGTA